TGTGTGTGTGTGTGTGTGTGTGTGTGTGTGTGTGTGTGTGTGTGTGTTGAGCATTTCCAGACCATAACACAAAAAGGCTTTTACAAGGAAAACAGTCAGTGAATCATCTACTGCTTTGACTCTCTTTTTGTCTGGCGTAGATCCTTTAAAACACATTCAGCCATACTGAACCATCGTCTGACATGATGAACCGTCATTATAGAAAACATACAGATTTCTTATTGCACAACGCAGGCATTTTTGCCGATGCTCTAAGACAGCGCGTTGGTGTGGATTTATGTGGAACTAGTTTTGTTGATCTACTCCATACATGACTCACTGTGATAGTTTATCTTTGATCAGACTCCTCTCTCCTCCAGATCCCCATCCGGAGTCTCAGGTGCCGGAGGGGGGGAAGGGAGGAGGCTCGTGCTGGCCAATGGGATCGGAGCGCCGAGTGGGGCTGTTTGCAGGGCAGCACCCGCGTCCCCGAGCCTTTTCCCAGAGTGCCGTGCACACCCTGGAGCAGAGGGAGAGAGACCTGGAGAAGGTAGGTGGATGTTGATCTGTAGCTCAAAGGCAGCAAACAGACTCGGGAGATTAAAGAATGTGAAGCAAACTGTTCACGATCACCAGCTAGTTTAATCTTCAAGCTGGAGAGAATTAAAATCATGTGCTTTACAGTCAAGTCACTATTCAAGCACTTTAACGCTGTATTTGTTGCAGCCAAGAGAACAAAGACAGAAATCAAGTAAAGAAATGCAGAGAATGAAAGCAGACTGAAGTAATTCTTTCTAAAAAACAGAATCTGGGCTAATGCTTGTGTGTATGAGAGCGCCTACGCACCAACATACGTGTGTGTATTGATAGACAGCAGACGTGTGTCCTTCACGCTGCAAAGCATTTCGGTTGAACTCCACGACTGAAAGCACGCCGTTCAAAAAGAACTGTTCAAATGGACTCTGTAGGTTCTTTGTGTGAGGGCTTGAGTTGTTGCTGCTGAAAGCCCACCGAAAGCTCCAGGGGGAGCTCAGCCCTCCAACTTCAAAGGTTTCACTCTCTACTGGTGTTTTAGTGCCTTTGAAGGCACCGTGGTGTTTGCTGCTACACTCCTAATCACAGTGGGATAGACCTGCATGGGAGCTCTTTTGTTTTAAAGGCTTTCATTTAATGCTGGCGGCAGAACAGTATCCATGCCTTGATAATAGCGTTATTACTTCTGTCTGAAGTGTTCTTCTGAAGTACTTAGGGTTTTACTTTCTTAGTTTTTAAGTTTACTAGTGCAGTGCCTGTTTGAGGGCGTGGCTGTTTCGGAGCGCTTGTTTGTTTCTATGGAAGTGAAGAAGAGTTCCGTTATAACGTTGGTGCATCCAGCAGCAAAAGGGAAGTGCAGTTGAGCCGCGGCCTCTAAAGGCCAGCTGTGTGGCGAGCATGCTTGTCTGCAGTTTCCTGAAGCACCGCCCCCACTGCCCAAAGCTTGTTTATTCAAAGCGTATTAATATTGACGTTGTCGCATGTCCAAATTACGCCAATTTTAATACTGCGCGTCCTTTGGTCCGCAGCAAAACACCCACCAAGTGTGAAGTAGATCGGATGGGTTCGCGAGATATGCGAAGGACACACAGACAGAGATTCATGCTTCATAGTTAGGTTGTAAAACTGTAAAATGTGCTTCTCCTTTTGCCTTTCCTGTCAGGAGGAGGGGGCGAGTCTGTTTTGCCGTCAGCCCCCGCCGCAGGCCCTGTACAAGGGTAGGCTCAGCGAGGACGTGACCAGCGACGAAGAGCGCATGGTCATCTGTGAGGAAGAGGGAGACGACGACGTCATGGGTGAGTTAGGTGATCAGCACGGCGGTCTAGTGGCTGTTGGGAGAGGCTGTTGTTGCACAACCACAAAAGTCATAGTTTCAGTTCCCACAACGATCAGTGTGTCTTCAAAAATAGACACTGACACTTCATAATCAGAATGACGGTTTTAGCAAAACACCTAAATGCTAAAAAAGAAAAAAAGAAGCTGTGTCATCTGGTAAGCCTCAGCCCCGGGACTGTTAGTTGCTAGTGTTAGAATTGAACAATAGCTCATAATTGGCCATTCGATGCTGATACTGGTGGTTTGAAGGCACTGATTGCAAATGGGGAGCAGTTAGAAGAATATTGTGCGTTAAGTCCCCTTTTGCTGAAATGTGCTAACTTCTCATATTTATGCCCCACCCTCAGAGGATTCCTGTCCTGAAGGCTCCATCGACCTCAAGTGTAAGGAGAGAGTGACGGACAGCGATGAAGACGAACCAGATGGACAGGTAGCTGCAGTCGTCATCATCAAGTCATTGGAATCACTTTCCACAGTAGACTTCACTTTGAGCTTGATTTTCTAGGCAACCGCGTGTCTCTCCTCCCTCATTTTGCACTGCATATATATTATACAATATTATGGATTTTAGATTGGATTAGATAAGATTTTTTATTCAATACTTTTATTCCATATATAGTCTTTGCATCAAGGCATGGAGTATAAGGTACCACATTTAGTAAAAACTGAATCTGGGTCTTCATCACACGTATGAGTTAAGTATTGATGTAGGTGGATTATTTTTGTAGGTATCGAGCCTCTTACTAACAGTATAATTCTGCATTAAAGACCTCATATCGTTGGTGGTTCCTTCATCCCCATCGAGCATTTAAAACTCACAGATTTTCTAGAGGTACTGTGAGCTCTTAATTAAGTAGCTTCATGTGTTCATGAAGTAGAAGAGAACTTTACATAGTAACCTTCCCAGCTTTGATCCCTCCGTCTCTCTCTTTCTTCCCTCCAGCATGGCTTCCAGCCAGTGGCTCGCTCCTCTCTCCCTTCTTGCTCTCCCTCCACTCCTCACTCCGGCTCCACCTCTGCTAAAGGGAACGGAGGAGGAGGAGGAGGGGGGTCCGAGAGGAAGAGAAAGAGAGAGGAGGGGAGCGAGGGAAGATCCAAGGGAGAAGAAGCAGCAGCAGATGGAGGAGAAGGAGGTGGTGGGGTCTTCTCTCATCCATCCAGCAGCCAGGCTCCCCTCGCTTTGGCCCAACAGGGTTTGACTCAGGTCCTTGGCGCCGTCTGCACGGCCCCCACAATGGTGACCAATGTGGTGCGACCCATCGCCAGCACGCCAGAGGAAGGAACCGTCACCGGCAACTCCCTGCCTCAGGACAAGAAAGCTGCTCTCCTGATTGGAGGAGGCGGACCTCAGCAGCTGCCAATCGCCGCGGGTGGTGGGTACCTGTCCTCATCCTCCTCCCCAGGTCCAGTCAGTGTAACTCCCGTGGGGGGCAGCGGCCTGGTCACTAGCCTAGTTCTGGGAGGGTCCTTTCCCGCCGCCCAGCCAGTGCCGCTCCTCACCCCACAGCTGCACGCACAAACCCCCCTACCTGTCCTCCAGCCCCAGCTCCACCCCACCGGCGCCACCTCCGCTCTCACACCTCCCGCCGGCCCCAAGCCGCTAGCGCAGGTCCAGTGCATCTTGCCCACCGAGGGCCCCTCCTCCCCTCAACTCACCCACCAGCAAATTCTCTCCCTGCCCGCCAATGCCGCCCTGGCCAATGGCATGCACTCGGGGGCAGGCATCAGAGTTGCATCAGTCAGCCCCGGAACCAGAGGTGAGACAGAGAGCAGCGGTTGGCTGATAAAGAAAGAACAAATCAGAGTTTAGTCTCAGTGTTTTCACCGGTCTCCACTGAGACCTGGAAAAGAGTCTTTCTTAAATTCGTCTCTTTTTGCTGTAAGTCCCTTATTTTCTATTAATCATCTCCGCAGGAAGCTCTGAAAATAGATGTGATTGTCTTACATAAATGGGAGATGCATGATTGACAGGGGAAGCACTGTTGACACGAGTATGAGCGCCCGCCGCCCACCCATGCCTTAATCACTCTATTCAGAAGAGTCTGAAGCAACAGAACATTGTTCCACCTCGTTATCAGAGAGGAATTTCACTATTATCAGTAGCTGAAATGTCCTCTCATGTCTCAGTGTGTCTCCACCCACCCGTCGCTCCTGTGCCGTCCTCCCCTCCCATCTTTTGGCTCGATTCATCTGTTTCTCACGCTGAGTGTTTTATCTCTCTCTCTCTCTCTCTCTCTCTCTCTCTCTCTCTCTGTCTCCCCGCTCTCTCCTTCTCACTCGTTAGTCCAAACCCAGTCGTCGGTCTTGCAGAGCAAGATGTTGGTTCCCATGGCAACAGTGAGAACAGGGTCTACTCCTCCTCATCCCTCCATTTCTCTGGTAGCTCCGCCTCTTCCTGTGCAGAACGGCTCCGTGACAGGAAACAAGGTAAGAATGTCAACGCGGTGACTGAAGCGAGTGCGAGCAGCTCCCGACGCCACCCTGTTTGCTGACAGGTGACAAGGTAGTCAAATCTGCATCAGCAGCATTCTAAGACTGAGACACGTGACACATGTTCCTGATGGGAACAAGGTCGATTTTCGAAGGTCAGTTATGCTCATGTTTTACTGCTCTGTGTTGCAGTCTTTCTCCGATTTTGACCGGTCGGATTTGGACGAAAGCTTTTTGAAGCGTTCCCTCTTTGAGTTTAGAAAGTACCATCACACACTTGCTGCTTTGCAGGGACAGAGAATCTATTTGATAAAGGAAAAATAAAAAATATTAGCTGGTTCTAGCTTTTCAAATTGAATGAGTTAGCTCTTTTCTCTTTTATATGATTGTAAATTGATTATTTGTGGATTTTAGACTGATCTCCCGAGCTTACTGACCTTCTAACGGGCATTTTTTTCTACTATTTTAACAGTTTTTCCCTTATAAACTTAATTATTAATCCAGACAATCAAATTAGGTGAGGAATGATGCTAGTAGGGTTAGGGTTAGTTGTAGCTCTACTACTGTGCTGCGTTTTATTCTGAAGGGATCACAGTTGCTTTAACAAACTCCTAGAATTGTTCTTAGGACCACCCCCATGACCCTTTGCTGCATCTCGTCCTCTCTCTGTCTCATAATAAATTAAATTATATATACATACATATATATATATCGGATGTGTTTAGATAAGTTGGTGAGAAATTCCTTTTGTTTATGTGTGACCCCCCCCCCATAAAGATCATCCAGATCGCTCCGATGCCTGTGGTCCAGACCAACGTTCACCCTTGCGGTGCAGCAGCAGTGCATCCTGGGAGTCCCTTTCCTGTTTCCATGGCAACAGTGATGTCTCCCGGTGCCGCGCCCCCGCAGACCGTTCTTCTGACCTCTCCACCCACCAGGTCACTAACGCCTATTAGACGCTTTGATTTTCCTCAGTTATTTTGATTTCAGCTAGGCTCATAACTTATTTTGCAGTAAATGTAGATAAAGAAAGTATTTTTTGTTTTTATGACAGTAAACTGAATATCTTTATGTTTTGGATTGTTGGGACAAAACAAGCAATTTGAAGTCAGCTATGGCTTTGGAAAACTGTGGTCATTATTGCCTTTTTTATTTGTAATCCTCAGCTGTAATATCTGTCTTTGACACTCAGACTCTTCTCTCCTTCAGGATCACATATGTCCAGGCTGGCCCGGGAGTTACCGCGGCTACGCTCCAACAGGCCACGTCCGCTCCGAGCCCTGCGTATCTCCCATCGTCCCTGGCAACCCTGGGCTTCACCACCATCGCCCCGGCGGGGCGAACCCTGGTTCAGCCACTGTTGGCCCCGCCCCTGAGCTGTCAACCACAGACCCCTCCGGGTCAGGCTTCGGGAGCCGCCGGTCATCAGGTAAAGAGGAACAGACAACTGTACAGCGTTAACACCATAGCACAGAGGTGTGCGGTCACGAGGAAAATATGAAAAATGAATTATAAAAGAAGTTGATAATGTTTAAGGAGTGAAAGAATTACTACTATTTTTACAGTAGTAATTATTTACTATATCTTTCTATATGTTTATAGTAGTAATTCTACATGTTGGAGGTTTTTCTTTTCAATACAAATACTGCAGATTTATTTCACAAAATGTCCATGTTTTACCAGTGGTGTATGAATTAATTAAACCGTATCAAATACCTCTTAAAACATGCACATTTAAAAAGAAAAAAGAAAAGGAAAGGAATTGTTTGACAGAAAAATCAGCTGGAGCACATGCAGCTCCAGAGGCAGCGGGATTAAAGGTGCAGCATTCTGGAATCAATTAATCGTGACTACATTACATTACATTTTACATCGTGTGGCAGCAGTTTCCAAATTATTCAATAATTCACATGAATACAGAAATTAAAATGCATGATTTCAATGACCAGTTACATTTGAATATCACAACACATTTTTGCTAGCTAACGCTCCCTCAGACACAGTGATGCAAAATGGATAGTTTTTTTAAATGAAAGAGTGATGTGGGAGACAACCCTGCGCCAGTAAAAGCTCTAAAGCGTGTGGTGAGGAATTATGAACCGTAATACTTTAAAGTTGGATTGATAATGGCAGGCAGTGATGGGTGAGGGTAAGCAGAATATATACATATTGGTCATTACAGCTGACAGTGGCATAACATATTTAAAACCCAGTATGTTTGTTCTCCAGCAGTGGGCCTCATGCTACTAAAGGTTGAGAAACCCTGCTCTAGAAGTAATAGATTCATTGAATCCCACTTCACCTTTTCTCACTTCTTCAGCTCGCTTCATGACATTGTCACTGTTCGGCTGTTAGCTTTCTTTTTCTTGCTCTACAAAACAAACAGGGATACACCAGAAAAGCCACACTAATCTCTCGTTGCTGTCATCGCTGTCTTCTCCGTCAGGTGCTAACTGCCATCTACCCTGCACCGACCGTTGCGCTGCCCAGTGGCGTGGTCTCCGTTACAACCGCGCCGCCCGCAGTGGCCTCCCCGGCCCAGGACGTGACGAGCCTTTCGTCTCAGTCGGCGACAGGGGCGCAGGGCTCGGCGGCAGAGGAGATGGAGCTGAAGGTGGAGGTGAAGAGGGAGAACCTGTCAGATGGGTGGTCGAGCTGTGCTGCCAGCTCCTCTTTTGCCACCTGTGCGATTAATATCACAGCAGGTAACGCTCCACCGCTTTTGTGTGGTTTGGCTTTAAATTTCACTTTTTTTTTGGTGTTGGTGAGGTTACTAAAAAAAAGTTAGTTTCATTTAGTGTGGAGACATAAAAACATTGACATCTGCGTGAACCCATCCTGTCATCCTACAGGGACACTTTGAAAGGTCTCTGGATTTTTAAGATTTTTAAGAATCTTCAGATATTTTCTAAATTGCCCGCCATGGGCATTGGTTTCTCTTTATATTTAAAGCGATAGTTTGGATGTTTTGAAGTGGGGTTTGTATGAGGTTCTTATCCATAGTCAGTGTATTATCTACAGTAGATGGTGGTGGGCATGCCACCAGTTTGGAGAAAGTATCAGCACGGTAGTGGACGGGGGCAGCAGCAAAACCTGTTTCAGACACCTGATGAATCAGAATCAGTGTAAGTGTACGCTATATTCAGAACATTTTCACCGCTTTACCTTGCCGTCAGACAGCTCTTTCCAACAGGACCGTTATCTGTGCTCTCTTCAAAGCCGCGAGACTCATTTGGCAAAATGTTTCTTTTTTAAAAGTAATTCTACCTCACAGAACATGGAGGTTGCAGGCCTATCACTGTCTCAATTGATGAGTTTGTTTGTGTTATTGTGTGACTTTGGTGTTTTAAACCAAGCAGCAACCTCGAGTGCTGAGAAATAAAGCCAACGGGACAAAAAAAAAAACTGAAGTTTTCGAATGGCCTCTTGAGGCTGGCTCCAAAAAAATCTCCATTGACCTCTATGTTAAAAATGCTCAGCTTTACAGCATAACTTAACATGTTTACAGCCTGGTTATGGTCTCTATAGCTAATATCCATGTGAATTACAACATTACTAGGGGCTGACTTTTATAGAACTCACCTGTTTAAATTGTATTAAGGCTTAAAGTTAGGCATAAAGGAGCACGAGGTAGGTGCGGTTTCAGGTTGCTAGCTGCTAGCTGCGTCTGCAGCGTCACCCAGGGCCGCCTAAGCTCCACCCACGATCCACCTCTTTTCCCATTTTTGGATTAGCCGTGAGTCGTCACTGCCCACTTTGAGCTTCACAGTGGCTCCTCAGAACCCTATAGGTGAGTTCAGGGAGGATTCGCCCATATTTTATACAGTCTACGGTTTTAAAGGGTTAATTCGGGTTCACCAAAGTCACGCAATAATGCAAACAAACTAACCGGTCGAGGCAGTGGTAGACCAGCGACTCCCTTGTTCTAGAAGGTTAAATTACAGTTTTTTTCAATGGAGTCGGGGCACTTCGGTGAGGCCTGTCTGACGACAAGATCGCGGTGAAAATATTCTAAATATAGCGTACACTTAAACTGATATTGATTTTTAGGTGTCTAAAATAAGTCCACAGCTGTACATTGCTTTGCTCCCTAGGTGGCACTTCTGTCTGTTTCTCCAAGCATGCTGATCGCTACCGCTGATCGCTGTACTGATGTTCTACTCTCTATGGCTAAGAACATTCAACCCCACCTCAAAAAATCCGCACTGTCCCTTTAAGGCATTAAAAGGGGCCATGTTGTTGCAGAATCAGTCTGCTTTTCCTCCAGATTCAAATCTTTTTTTAGAAACTGAGCAAGCAGGATTAAGAACGTTAAGACCAGTGCGATAAATGAGGATGATGCAGAATTTCTTTTTTTTTTAAACTGATCTTTATCTGCTCCAGTTAAAAAAGAGGAGGACCTCGGCCTGCACATCAAAGAAGAAAACCTCGGAGATGGACACGGCGGAGAGAAACAAAGCGACGTGGACAGGGAGACAGAGAGAGGGGTGAAGGAGAGCAGGAACAAAAAGGGAGGCAGGGAGTCAGACAGAGAGGACCACAGCATGGACGCCAGCAGCAAAGAGGTGAGAAAAGCTGCCCAGCTCATTCAGCTGATTCTCTCATCTCTCAAAGCTTTGGTGAAAGAGCTTCAGAAGCCTATTCTATTCAAACGGTTTTAGGTCTAATTGATACAAGAATACACCAGAATGTATTATTCCTCTTTGTTACACACTTACATCAGGTGTTTATCAACAGTTTTTTCCCCCTGCAGCAAGACAAACAATCTTTTCTGAGCTGGAAACAATAGTACAGAGACAAAGAGACATGCTAACAAAACAGTTCTCCATAAACGTAGATATTGTGCAGTGGAAAAAATGAAGGAATAATTAAGACAATTTCAAAGAGTCGCGAGGGAACGGTACACCTACTGTCTCACTCTCTTCCCAGGCCGGACCTCGCACCCCTCCTCTGCCGCCCCCGGGTTTGGACCCCCCACCCCCTCCCCCTGCGGAAAGAGAGCCCCCCTCTGGCTCGAAGAAGACCAAGTTCAGACCCCCGCCGCTCAAAAAGACGCCCGACTCTCTCGAGAAGTAAGTGGGACGATGTCGGCACGAGGCAGGCGCGAGTCACTAGCTGAGGGAACTTATCGTCAGTGCTTCCATATTTTTGTTTTGGAATCAAATATTTCCGAGTGGGTTTAGTGTCTAGAAGCTTCGGAATATGCGAGATGACATCAAATATGGAAGCACCCGTAAAACGAGGGAAATGCATGCGAGACGTTCAGCGCTTAGTCATAATTCGAGTCTCATCTTTGGCTGCGAGACAAGCTTTCGTTAAAGTCCAGAGCCGTTCTCGTGATCGGACTCATCAGAGTCACGGCTCTCGAAGAATCAGTGCCAAAGCAAAACAAAACAAGTCAGCCTGGTCCTTCTGGCTCTCCGGTCGTTGTCAGACAATGTTCTCTCTATTCTAACAGTTTACATTTTGTCAAGCTGAGAGCGCTCGTATAACAGGAGCTCATCTTCTGTAGTTACAGCGTGAAGCAGCTTGAAGATGAGATTCAGCGCCCTGGACGGGACTCCATTTGTCGACTTTATTTAACACTGATGTTCGCACATTGTGGCATCTAGTTCTGTTTTAAATTTTTTTTTATTTTACAACCAGACCTCCAACTTCATAAAATGATGATGGAAACTTGTTGTTTCCTGAATGTGAGTGGGCAGAGTGCTCTCCCCTTTCTGTTCTTTATTTAGACAGCTGGAGAGTGGTGGGGAAGCCACAGACAAGAGAAAGCCCTGACACAACTCAGCCCTAGGCCATGAGGAACGTGCGTCCAATCCCTTAACCGGCATGACCACGGTGTTCTCTGTGCGCAGGGTCCTGTCGGAGACGTACTTTGAGGAGCGTTTTGCTGAGCTTCCAGAGTTCAACCCAGAGGAGGTCCTGCCTTCGCCCACTCTGCAGAGTCTGGCCACCTCGCCAAGAGTCATCCTGGGAAGCTACCGCAGGAAGAGACGCAACTCCACCGGTGAGATGCTCAGAGAGAGATGTACTCTTTTTCTTAAAAAGCAACATTGTGTTATTTGGATTTGGAATTAAGACGTTGTTGTGGCGTCACATTGTTTTTATTTCCCTGCTTTTTGTGCTTGATATGTCTAAAATCTACCCTGTCCTCTCTTCCTACGTGTCCCCTTTCCTCTTCATACTCTTGTTATCCCCCTTGTCCCTCCCCCTTTTCATCTCAGAGCTGGAGCCGACAGCCGAAGACCCCAGCTCCCCGAGGAGGAAGACCCGCCGTCTCTCCAGCTGCAGCTCGGAGCCCAACACCCCGAAGAGCGCCGCCAAGTGTGAGGGGGAGATCTTCACCTTCGACAGAGCGGGTACGACGGGTACATCAGGTGCAGCAGCAGGGAGCAGCTCCAAAAAGGTGCACTGAAAGTGACACGATGTTCTCCTCGTTCAACCAGGTACCGAGGGAGAGGATCTTCTTGGAGACTTGGACCGTGTCCCCTACTCGTCTCTGCGCAGAACTCTGGATCAGCGCCGGGCCCTGGTCATGCAGCTGTTTCAGGAACATGGCTTCTTCCCCTCAGGTAAACCACAAGTAGATGGGACACAATGTTACGATAGGAATAACTACCTGAAATGGAGATTCAATATTTGACTTTTATTCAAATGTGCGGGCAAACCTCAGTTCAGCTCAAAACAGTCTGTTCCTTCATTGCAGCGCAAGCAGTAATACTCACATATTTGGAGGGGAGCTACCTCACATTTATAGAAGTCCTTATACTTTAAAAACACTTTGTATTTTACAGTATCAGAGAAATATGAGTGGAAAGTATACAGGGACTTTGGCTGGATTTACAGGGCTCTTTTGTTTCTGTTTTGTTCCCTCCTCAGTTTACGTGTCGTTAAACTTGGTAACCACTCACTCATTATCTCTATGTGATGCAAAATGCTCAATAAATACAAAGCAAACTAACACGGAATCAGTCGCAATTGCAGTCATAAAGAATACCACACAGGACATATGCTAATACTTGATATCGTACAGTGTTGATAACAAGCGCTCTATCTTCTTGCTCTCTGTTCGCCTCCTATTTCTCTCACCCTCTCCAGCTCAGGCCACCGCCGCCTTCCAGGCACGCTACTCGGACACCTTCCCCACCAAGGTGTGTCTGCAGCTGAAGATCCGCGAAGTCCGTCAGAAGATCATGCAGACGGCCGCGCCCGGAACCTTCGAGCTGGGAGTGTTGGCAGGGTTAGCCGAAGCCGGCCCCGCCCCGTCCCACAGCTCCTCTTTCAATCAATCAGCCCGGGAGGACGGAGGGGCGGAGCAGCAAGGAGACAAAGCCAGGAGCCCCGAGGAGCCGAAAACTGAAGGGTCCTAAGCTGGACGGGATGACAGAGTCGAAAAAATAAAGGAAGAGAGGAAGAGAGAGAAGAATGTTCTTGTGTGCGTTGAAGCAGTAGTGTGAATGGCTCCGGTGGGATCCGTTCTACAGGCACTAATCTCCACCAGACCTGGGCAAAATTACATCTGAATACAGTCGCAAATATTCAAACTACTTGAGGTGCGCTTGATTCGTCCAATCAGACTTTTAAAAAAAATAAGCCTCAAAAGTGGACAAATCACAAGTCCTGACGAGTCAAGTGCTTCTTGCAGTATTGCCCCCCCCCCCCCTCCCAAGTATCCAGAGTGTTTTCAGTTACCACTTTGCCCAGGTCTGCTCTCAGCACATTTGTACAGTAGTTTGTAGTTCGACACAAACTATGTGGCGCACACTCACTATCTCTCCGGCACACACACACACAAAACCTGGTGCATATGTAATCTCCAGCATGCACATGATCCCACATAAACACACACACCCTTACCAAATCAGACTGTTACTCTTTGGCGGTCCCCGGGAGCAGCCACCAAGGATCATGACACACAAAGGCACTTTGTCACTTATTGTGCAGATGCAGTTTGCTGTTGCCAGCCAGCCAGCCAGCCCTCAGATGCCATTGACTTGACCTCCTTCTCACCCCTTCCACTCCTCAGCACAGTGGTCGGGACACAAACACAACCCCAACGACCTCCACTGATATTCCACGACCCCTCGATGCTGCAAGACAGACAGCACACGCACACATATACAGCACATGCACACACACACACACACACACAAACATAAACATGGACACATCTGTGCAGTGTGAACACTCGTACACAAACAAAGTCAAATCTGGTCTGACCAAGCCATTGGCCTGCACAGATTTTAGTGATTGTAGTGAGAAGAGAGACTGAAAGCGTGAAATCAGTTCGCTCCTGGAAAAAAAGAAAAAGGAAGGCAGGAGTTGGGATGTAGTGTGACCAATCTTTGCACCTTCAGTTATTGCCATTATGAAAGACTGAGTCCTTATTGGCGGGAGCTGATTCTATATGTCTGTATGTCTGTTGGGGTCCCATCCCCGAAAAAAGCCCTGTGCGAACAGGCACCGTAAAGAGATTATGTAAAGAGACAATTGGTTGTGAGGCTTCGAAGAATCTACGTTTAAGTTCGACACTGACTGACCGGCTCCCGACGGAGCACAGAGAAAAAAGGCAGAAGAAGAACGGTGGACGATGCTTATCGGATGGAAGATTCATCTTCTAACTATAGGAAGACAAGATAATAATAGCGAATAAGGACAACAACACGATAGAGCTCACCAACAGAGAGAAAAAGTAGAATTTCAACCAAACTTCTCTGAATCTCCCAGTGGATATAATGTTGCTTTCTCTCGTTATCGTTGCCGTGGAAATAACCCGTTATACCGTGGCCTGTTTTTTCTCTTGTGGCTCTATTGTGTTTCTTCTCCAGCATAAAAAATATAAAATCACAACAAAAAAAAAATTTTAACTCTGGACAAAAAAGGGGACAAAATCAGTCTGCGCCCCACCCACCCTACTTTTAATTGTACCTGGGGCGGTTCTCTCCCCCCCCCTCTTACCCCCATTCCCTCCTCTTCAATTCTCACCAGACACAGAAGTGGGGGGGAGCTGGGGCGGTTGTCGTTCTGTAAAAACGTTGAAATCAGGTGTTTGCACAATTTGTGCGGCCCGTCTCGCCGCAAGTTAAATCAGGAAAGTATTGTTTTTAGAGATTGTTTTAGTAGAAAAAAAAAGAATAACCTTGTTCCGTATGTTATCAACCAACTTATTCCTCTCCTTGACCTCCCTTCCCCCCCCCCCCCCCCCCCCCCTCCCCCTTTCTTTTAACTCTCCTCATTCCTCTTCTTTACCTCAACCCCTCAAGTGTTGTTAGAAAGTGCCCTTAAGCACTGGTCCCGGGTCAAGCGCGATGTAGCTCAGGATGGTTCTGGTTAGGGTTAGTTCAGGGAAAGCAGATCCTAGACCAGCCCTGGAGGGCAGTCTCTGGAGCCCTCCCCTCCTCCCTCTCTTATCGACACTTTATCCTTTCCCGTCAAATGGTGCAATAGGACATTTTTTTAATTTTTATTTTGGGTTATTTTGTTTTCGGGGGGAAGGCTCTGTGCCATAGATATTAAATCCAACACAGTCAGTCAGTGAGAGGAATGAGCTGTTGTGATACTGTCTTTAACTATGGTATAAAACAAAAAAGAATCACACAATTATTGTTATTGTTGAAGAGATAGAGATTATAACTTACTAAAAGTCAAAGACAATTTTTGAATAGCACTTTTTGGCTCTTTGCTTCCTCGGCGGAGAGCGGGGGGTAGTTATTATTATGGGTATCTCTTTTATTTCTCTGTATACAGTTGGATGTGTGAAAAAAAATATATATACCGGTATTTCCATATATGTGCATTTAGGTCTGCGTTCGGGTGTGTGTGTATGTTTTGGCACATGCAGTTAGCGTGTTAACACGACCAACCTCTTGCTCTTTCTCCATACAGCAACATTATCAATAGTATATTTTTCATCGTATTCTACATTCTATATTCTACTCTAGAGACAGTATTTTTATAGTCACCATGACTATTTTGCCCACCATCTTGACTGTTATCAAACCCAGTTGATTCAGGATATATATGAAATATATATTCAGGATATACAATATATAAATATATATGAATACACACAGGTAATAAATAGAGGACTATCAATTCTCATCTCTTTGGGGTTAGGGCTGTAAAGTGTCCGTCTGCATGCATGTGCAATCACGTGCACGCGTGCACACACACCCATACAGACATATGTGCATCCGCACACATGTATGTGTGTACACTGTATGATTGTGCTTAAAAATAAACTGTCCTTACTTTGGAGAAGGAATTTTAGGATGAGCGAGGTGAGTGTTATCTCATAAGCAGGCATGTTGACCATGTGCAATATTTCTAAACAACAAAAAAAAAAACTAAATATTGAAAATATTAAAGTTCTAACACAATGTCCCATGTCCTTGAATTTATTTCACATGCTTGAATTTCTCTCATTTTTGGAAAGTTTCCAAAAAAATGTATGTCTTATTTATCAATCCACATACAGAAGGTGACAAATGACTCCCTGATTTATTGAAATCTCTACTTCCAGAATAACAGTGGATACAAGAGAGGATAGCTGATGCAAATGAATCCTCAAATGACCAAATTTTACTATAGACAAATGAACATGATCTACAGATGCAGCCAACAGGCAAGTTCCCAAAACCTCCAGAAAAGTGTGCACTTTTCCAACTGGCCTTTATAAGAATCTCAGTGTTAAGTGTGCCTATTGGATTAGAGTAGCCTTCCACATTGAGGTCATATTGGGTGAGAGGTGGGTTAAGGTAAGGGGAGCTGGTCAGAGAGCCTTCCATATCTGCAAAAATAAAACACTGGGAAGCTAGAAGTTACGACACCCTGTCTACTTCAAAACAAATAAGCCCCTAAGCCTTCAAGATACTGAAGTATGTTGTTTTACCCACACAAGACATATATTATTATTACTTATATGGAAAACAATTACGAAGAAAAGCTTAATTTAAAGTAAATATAGTTGAAGATTTAAGCAATATCACAATGCTGAACCTCCCAAGTGGTCTTTTTACTTTATATTTGTTTCTTTTATTAATTATTATACTTTTACAAGCAGAAAAATACCAATTAGCAGATATCAAAATGAGGTTACAAATAATCACATGCACGCACTCACACACGCACGCGTCACTGAATGCCATGGAAACGGTCACTCTGCACTTGGACCTGAGCGGAACAACTCTTGAGCTGACCACCTCTTGGACATCCATACCGTGGAGAGCTGACTCTTTGAGTTTTTAACTTCTTGAGAAAAGCTACTTGATACGAAACTTGTTGGAGAAACTACTACATCGCTACTATCGTGGACAACAGAAGCGCCTGAAGATCTTCGGCTGAAGGAGGAGCACCTGCGGGGTGTGTGCTGTGAGAGATGGCCCATACCTGTGCTGGTAAGACAACTTTTACATTTATTTTAGCATTTTTCTTTTGAATCATCCCCTTGAAAGCATTTAAAGCATTCCCAGTTTAGAAAGCAGTGAAAGGTGAACAGTTGACACTATATTATCAGGCCTGTCGGAAACAGACACTCGTGTAAACTGATTATTTGAGTGACAGAATGTCTTAAATGTATCGGGACGTCTGTGGAATGTGTTCACAATAGTGTAGATGTTTAATTAAACACAGTTATTTTGGTTTGAAGGCATCAAATCTTCCTATTTTAACATTAAAATGTATAGTTCTGAAAATAGAACACTTTCATAAAAGGCTAAATAAATGCTGAAGTTGTGCACCATGGTAACCATATGGAACGATCAGCGGCGAGCGTCAGGACATAGCCTAATTCATCAAACCAGGACACGATGCGACCCTGAGTGGGTTTGACTGTTGAAACTTGAGTTATTGAACAAACATCTGATCCTTTTACGTCATCATATTACATAAACTATTTCTCTAACATTTAGCATTGAGATGCGCTTTGCTCGTTGTTGTGGTATTTGGTTTTCGAGGGACAAGAGAGCGATCCGTTAAGTAACTGTACGGGGCTGCAGGTGCGCGTGCTGCATCTCCTCCACGCGCTGTGATATGCAACTCATAAACCGGGAGAATAATGAATTATAAACTAAAGAGGTTAGTCATGTTGGATTAATGTAGACACGTTTCACTGTGCGTCGCTAGTTCAACAAATACGTTCACGCTGTTTATTGCAAGCCAAGCAAATGCAAAATAAACGTCTTTGTCCAGAGCTCACGAGTAATCAACAGTCGGTTAATTGACCCGCTGACTGACTGATTAGCAACTGGAATCTGAATCCAGATCAGAAACGTGTGAAAAGCCCGTGCGTAAAAGCGCGTGGCCAGCTGCTCCTCTCACCCTACTCTGTTGTTTCGGACATATAATAATAAGAGTAATAAGGATAATATCTATAACGACAATAATAATATTTATTGCTTTTATCATTATTTATATAGTTGTGTTCAAACTAACAGAGGCAGAGCTGCACTATGTTTGCTATAAACGTTTAAAGGTGAACCCTCTTGTGTGTTGGGGACTTTATGTGAGTTGTGTAGTGCTGTCCAGTTACTTTATGGCTCTGCTGTCGTCTTTTCTAATTTGAACTTTGATTATTGCTTCATGTAATCCAGAAATATTTCATGTTATGGGAAATCCTGACAGTTTAAATGTTTCCCTCTCAGCTGGTGTCGACTACGTCATTGAACGTCCTGCACAAGACGGCCTCCCTGAAGTCATCAGGATCCTCGACGACGACGAAGGTAACCTCCCGATCCTTATCTCTTGCGTTGTGGGTGGATTTCAGGTGGAGCCAGGCGTGGTGGGTGGAGGTCAGGTGCAGCCCGGCGTAGTGGGTGGAGGTCAGGTGGAGCCCGGCGTGGTGGGTGGAGGTCAGGTGGGGTCAGGCGTGGTGGGTGGAGGTCAGGTGGAGCCCGGCGTGGTGGGTGGAGGTCAGGTGGAGCCCGGCGTAGTGGGTGGAGGTCAGGTGGAGCCCGGCGTGGTGGGTGGAGGTCAGTTGGAGCCCGTCGTTGTGGGTGGAGGTCAGGTGGAGCTCGTCGTGGTTGGAGGTCAGATGGAGCTCGTCCTTCTGCGTGAGTTGCTTCAGTTGCTCTTCTCTGACGACGAGGACGACGAGGACGAGGAGGACCAGGAGGACCAGGAGGACCAGGACGAGTCCGACACGGAGAGAGAAGATTCCGGGTACTACTCCATGGATGACGTGCCGGAAGATCCGCCCCCAGTCCCCCAGAGGTTAGAAGAGCCCACCAACAGGAGCAGGGAAGAGGACCTCACGGAGCAGGCGAGTGTGAAGAGGCAGAGGAACGGTGAGGATGACCACGAGGACGCGACGCCCTCCACTTCAGGCCTCGGATCCTCCATGAAGAGGAGCAGGGAAGAGGACCACACGGAGCAGGCGAGTGTGAAGAGGCAGAGGAACGGTGAGGACGACCACGAGGACGCGACGCCCTCCACTTCAGGCCTCGGATCCTCCATGAAGAGGACCAGAGAAGAGGACTGCGGGGAGTCGGCGCCCTCCACTTCAGGCCTCAGCTTCCCCCCATGCAGAGAATACCGGCAGTCGGATGAAGACAGCGACTCGGATTGAGACCGACAGCATGTTTGCTGCAGGATTGTAGAACCTTTGCGTCTGGCAGGACTGATAAAGCACCAGACAGCCTTCCCTCGCGTCTGGCGCGGTTGGCGATAGGCAGCATCCTACAGCAGAGCTGTTAAATATCTCTTCTTTGTTGATTTTCCGTTTGAAAAATGGTTGATGCTCAACGCAGAAACCAGAGGTAAGTTAGCAGTGAATGGTTGTTATTCCGTTGTGTATTTTTCTTTATAAAGTCTAGATGTCGTTACCAGACAAAGGTCACTCAACACAAGTTGCCTCAAAGTCTCACTTAACAGTTATTCAAAGATTCTGTCACGGGAGTTGAAGATCAGGACCCAATAGCAAGACCACAGGAGACAGAATCTGGTAAAACAGATTTTATTTTACCAACATAAAGGACAGGAATGTGTGGAGAGGAGATCAGGGGAAACACAGGTCCTGACAGATTGTTCATTTTACTCACTATCCGTTTTTCATAGTTAGGTGTAGGTGACTGTCTCAGACATCATCATCATTTCCCTTTATGCCTCTTGGCATGTAGGGCAGCAACAAAAGTCTTCCACTCCTGTCTGTCCTGGGCGAGTCGCTGGATGGTGCTCCATGAGTGGTTTAGGCTCTGCATCTCCTTCTCCACAGTTCTTCTCCATGTGTTTCTTGGTCGGCCTCGTTTTCTTTTCCCCTCTGGTGTCCAATGTAAGGCTGTTCTTGTAATATCAGCAGGATCTTTTCTCAACACATGTCCTATCCATCCCCATCTTCTGCTCATTAGCATGGTCTCCATGCATTCTTGTTGGCATTTGTCATACAGTTCTTCATTTGAAATGGTGTTTGGCCAGAAAATGTGCAGTATTCGTCTTAAACTCTTGGTGTGGAAGGTTGATAGTCTGTTGAGATCTTCTTGTGTCATTCTCCAGCATTCAGAACCGTACAATAGGGTGGATAAAACACAGCTCTGATACAATTTAAGTATGGTCTTGATGGTGTACTGCTGTGACCTCCATATGTTGGCTTGTATCAGACAGAGGTATGGTAAAACTTACTAACGTTAAGAAAAGTTTTCCAAGTCTCTTTTACTCAGGTATCGATGGCTGTAACACAGGAAGCAACATCCTGGATCTCCTAGACAACAGAGAAGATGTGTTCACTCTGGACCAGATGAGAAGGATGGAGTACTACAGGACCAGATGGAGAGCGGAGGTCGCCTTTCTTTCAGTGGGCTGAGTAAGTAATCCCTCACTAAGACTACAGAAGTATCAGTAATAAGATTCCATCATTGAACAATGTAACGGTCGTATAGTTGAGTTAAAAGTATTCATCTCTTGTGTTTGTGTCTCACAGGGCAGGACTCCTCTGTGCTTTTTTCTCACTCCTGGGGCAACTGAGAGTGGATGTCAACCAAATCCATCATCCCAGGAAGACCCAGACCCACCACAGACCACTGAACCACTCTCAGCACCCCAGTGAGTCTGAGACCCAGTGAGTACGGTGACGTCCTCCCTGCCCCTCCCCCCTCCGACACCGCCCGCTCCACCCGCCAGCCGAGAGGACGAGGAGCGTCCCGTCCCCACCGGCACAGAGGACGTAGTTTGTCTCCGTCTGCTTCTTCTGTGCTGGTGGGTTTGGGAAGCTCCTCACACACACAGGAAGCCATCAGCAGCTCTTTGCATCTGCTCAGAAGTCAAGAAGGAGACAGATGCATTTGTCACATAGAACACAGTATGTTCATGTAAACTGTATGTACTGTATGTATACTGTTTATTTACAGAGTAGCACAATAAAAATCAATGTATGACAAACTTTCTAAATATGTCTTTGTATTGGAAACAATATCATATTTCTGATATAATTCAAAAATCTGACAATGTACGACAATTAATATACAATAAATATTGTGCAAGTGATAATTTAATATCTTTTTGATTTTCATTTGACTCAAAGGCTGTTAGTACTGTTAAGTATTGATAAATATAATATTACATGTTGATATAAATAAAATGGTGAAAGCTTTAGATTACTGCCCCAACGTGCAGCATAATTCTTGCCAATTTAATTATAACTAAATCATAAATAATTGAAATCTTTACTGATTGTTAACTAGTACAGAACTGATGACACATACATGTAGGTGCAAGGGAACAAGATGTGACGTTAATGAATAAGGGGGAAACAATGTGGGAACCATAAAACCATATATGTAACAAAATGCTTATTGTATTGATAAGTGTTGTTCACCTGCAGTGGAAATGCTGACTTAAACAAGTCTACTAAGATCAGGTTGTGTTAGTAAATTGTATTCCAATATTCAATTAAAATTATTTTGTATAGCTCAATATCACACGTACAGTATAGTACATGTGACATCCTCTGTCCCAGGACCCTCGAATCGGTACAGGAACCCCCCCCCCCCAAAAAAAAAACTTTAACGGAGAGAAAAAAGGAAGAAACCTTAGAGAGAGCAACAGAGGAGAGATCCCTCTACCAGGATGGACAGAAATGCGATAGATGTCATGTGTACAGAATGAACAACATAACAGAGTTACAACACATTCAATGCGGGGATGTACCCCGGGGATGTCCCCATGAGTCCAAAAGGAACTTCCTGAACATCACTTCCGGTTACTGTGAAACATCACGGAGCTGTCACTTTTTAAAGTAAAAGTCCAAACAAGTGAGAAGGTCAGTGGGACTAAGCCTCGTGCACGAAACATATCGCGGTGGTTTACTTAACTTCTCTTCTGTAAAAAAAAAGTAGTTTTTTTAATTCAACGTGCAATCGCTCTTTCTTAATAAATCAGTACGGGTGCATGTCCAGTAATGTTATCAGCACAGCAGATAAAATCCCCAAATAGTAACGTTAGCTAGCTAATATAACTATTTACAATATTATTTGTAATTTGCACATATGATGAATGCGAGTTAGAGTAGTGTAAAGGGCTGATGTGAAATCATATAAATGGATAAATCTATATTAAAACTACTGTAGTAATTGAAAACAAAGTACAGTACTTATTATTGTTATTATATACACCATTTGTTTATTGAATGCGTATGTTTTATCAGCCAAAATGCTGGCTCCACAATGCATTCCTGCTCATGAAATGTTTCTGACACAGATGGGTGAGGTGTCCGCAGACGCCGTCACCCTGGATCTGCTGAGAGAAGCCAGGGAGACGGTGAGCAGCAGCCCCCTGGGTGTCATCAACACTCTCATGATCCCCTAGTGCCAGACGACCCTGCCTCTCGACATCCACTGCAACATCCACATCAAACTGGAGAACATGCAGATAACTGGTCGGACGAAAACACTTTGGTTCTTTCTCGCAGAAACAGCCGCGCATCGGCCCGTTGCTAAAGACGTGTCTTACATTTGATTGACAGGCTCTTTCAAGATCAGAGGAGTGGCCAACCAGTTTGCCAGGAGACCAAAGGGGGGTGATTTTGTCACCATGTCCGCCGGGAACTATGGGAAGTCTTTTGCGTACGCCTCGAAACACTATGGGTCAAAGGGCAAGGTGGTGATGCCCGAAACGGCCCCCGTGTCCAGATCCACCCTGATACAGGTTAGAGGTTATCTGCCGACTGTCGGTCTACGCTGTGATTTGCTTTTTGCTGTTTGTAATTTGTTTTTTCTGCACCAATCAGAAAAAAGGACAAATTATTTTAGTTGCAGTTAAGCCGTGTTTTAAAAGTATCACTCTCGTCCTCAGAGTTTCGGGGTGGAGGTGGAGCGAGTTCCCACCTCCTGTCTGATGAATGTGGTGAACCGCTGCGTTCAGGAGGGCGACATGACCTTCCTGCACTCCTACGATGACCTGGATCTAATAGCAGGACACGCCAGGTACGCTCAACGGCTGACAGTGGAATAAGGAGGATTCAAACTTCTATTAGAGCAAAGTCTAAACCCGGGTTTGTGTGTGTCCAGTCTGAGTTTAGAGGTGCTGGAGGTGGTCCCCGAGCCTGACGTGGTGGTGGTGTGCTGTGGTGGAGGGGTGCTGCTGGCCAGTGTGGCCGCTGCCATCAAACTGTCAGGCTGTGATAAGACCAGAATCTACGGTGTGGAACCAGATGGAGGTAAAACTAACACACAACAGTTTTTAAAAAAGCATCACCTGCAGTTTTAGCTTCACACGCAGCAGCTTAGTGAACTTTGGGCCCGTTGTGTTTCTGTTTAAACCCAGCCTGCACCATGTACAGGAGTTTCATTGAGAAGAAGCCAGTGGGCATGGACACCAAGAGCATCGCCTCAGGACTTTTGCACCTTTTGCAGGTATCATGTGCAAGTCGTTTCTCTCAATCTTTCTCTCTGTGGCTTTAAATTATGAGATGCTTTAAGTTAGATTCAGGCTCATGGCTTTAGGGTGAAGTCCTTCTTAATTGTTACTGATACTAATTCGTGACTCTCTCCTTTTCTTTGCATCGCAGGCACACTGCCCTTCGAGTTGTGTCAGCGTTACGTGGAGGGGATTGTCCTCATAAACGATGAAGAGATCAAGGCGGCCGTGTCCACCCTCTACAGGTCCGGCCTTGTGGTCGAGCCGTCGGGCTGTGCCGCGTTCACCGCCATCGTTAACGACAAGATACCCGAGCTGGAGGGGAAGAGCGTGGTGTGCATCCTCAGCGGAGGGAACATTGAAAAGGACGAGCTCGTTAACTTCCCAGGCTGACAAATGTACACTACTATAATGTGACTTTTCTTAGTGGGAAATACAAATAAAACACTATTCAGGTCTTCTGATGTGGAAAATCTAAATAATTTCAGTGCTCATGTCATTGAGGGAATGTGAATGTTTTATGCGAGTGAAGTGAAGAGACATTGCTTTATAGCTACACTACTCTAATGTAAAAATAATCTCTGTAGCATCAGGATAGTGGTGGGCAATTTATCACGAACAGGCCAAAATCTATGGTTTTTATCTGAATACTAAAATGTTTAGTCTTTTATTTTTATGGTATTGTACACTGTGAACGTTGCTCTTTCCTTGGCCTACATCCACTGTTAAGTCATTTTAACTTTGTAGTTGTTTTGATTTATGAAAGCCTGTGCAGCAAAGCTGAGCAACAGCTAGTTTGAACTTCGTCTCCCATGTGGCATTGCGAGCGGTCTGTTTCTAGGTGTCTAGCAACAGCTATCAGCCCAGACAGCCGGCGGCAACGGGAGCGGTATTTCTCGGTGTGTCTTTCCACGATTATTCGCTGCTGGGTATTCATAATTAATAGTCAATTGGCTGAAAATAGTGAAAGAAACAACCCTGACCCCTGCACAGAGATATGAGCGGCAGCGGGCGGCCCAGGACCAGCTCGTTTGCTGAGCCGCTAGGTGTTCCAGGAACCGCCGCTGCGTCCACCGGATCAGCCGCTGCCGTGGGGAGCAGCACAGGAAAGTCCGGGGTCCCGCAGGCCTCCGGCAGCAGCTCGTCGGGATGCTCGAACCTTAAGCTTGCCAGTAAGTCATAATTAGCCTTCAGCTCTTTGTCGGAGTCTGTCTATCCAATAAATTATATTATGTGCTTTTACCTCAAAAATATCTGCCAGTGTTATATGTTATAATCCGGAGGAAAGTCGTTATTGCTCCTGTGTAGTGCTAACCAACTTGCTAGCATGCTAACCAGCTAGCCTGCTAACGTTAGCCACTTGTTTTGTATGTTTCTAGTTCCCCGTCCGGCGGATGGATGTAACGTTATTCAGCCCTACTGATGTCAAACTAAGCAGCTGGCTGGTTATCACTGTAACTCAGTATTACGTCAATCATATTGACGAATAATCGGATCCACTAATGTTAAATTACAATGTGAGGATCTATTTTATTTCACTGTGGTCAATGTGAGTGAGCAGTAAAACGGGACTCCGTTGTCCTTTGTGGCCAAGCTGGACCGCAAATACCCGAGCTCGAGTGCTGCATCCGAGGGTGTTATTTGAGAGTGCGGCATTAGCCATCAGCCTGGAGAAGGGTCAGGGCGGAAAGTTGCCTTTTCACCAAGGTCACCTGTGGGGCAAAGGCTTAGCAGCAGGTGGCCGATGCCTGGAGGATGCAAGTGATGCATATCCAGCACAAGAGGTGGGCTGTCTGCTGGGATGCCAAGGAGTAGGTTTCCTCTGTCTGAGATAGAGTTATAGTAGCCTCTTTATTACCATAGTGACCGGTGTAAGCAGAGATCTGTGTGTGTGCCTGCATGTGTTAATCCAAACCGTATCATCCATTAGCAGGCAATGGTGTGTGGCTTTGATATTAGAGCCCAACTGGGAGGTCACTTGTAGTTCAAAGCAGTGTGACCCATGTTTTCTTGCTTTCCCTCTCTTGGCAACACTGCTGGAGGCACTTAAAGCCCCAAATGTTGCCATCAACTGGTAAAGATGATTGATGAATACGCTGTCAGGTTTGGGAGATCTGGAGGCTATTTCAGGAGGCAGGATTAGCCCAGTTAGCCAGCTATTTGTGAGAGAGAATGATGTGATTTGACATTTAATATTACCAGTGAAATTAAACTTGGACATGGAGAACCAACCAGTGATCTGTTATTATGAATAACAGCAGAGGATGTTTGATGACACAATGTTAGGGGTTTCTATTAAGTACTCCAGTTTATATAAGATACTCAAGATACCACATTCTGGAGTAAAAGACTCTAGAATGTGGTACAATGTGAACCTAAACAAAGAGATAAACTACTGATCAAGAGTGGGAGGTAGATAATACGATTGTTGCCCTCCTGGTTAATGACCTATTTCAATGTGATGGCATTTTTCCCTATATGGTTAATTTTCTACTGATTTTATTCCACTGAAATATTTGCCAGTCTTAGAAAGTGGCATATCAACTAGAGAATTTATGATTTCATTGAGTTATACTTTTGGAGTTGGTCCACAAACAGTGAAATGATGTGTTGATTCTGTTTTTGTGGTAGACTGTCACATGATGAAACAATATATACAGTATACTTAATGGAAACCTCGCACTTACACCAGAGGTTCTCCCTATAGAGCGGATGGCCTGGTTTGATTTTTGGAAGATGTTGCTGCATTAAACTACATATTAATCAGGTAAACTTAATTATCTTAAAGCTACTTAGCTTTAATATGATGAGTTTGTGTATTCACAGTGTGTTTTTGTGTATGAAGACAAGACTGCTGGAAATCTGCAGGTAAATGTATTAATCAGAATAGTATGTATATTTAAAACATTGTATTGTGATTATAGTGGGGCCATGTTTAAGACACAGATTTTGCAGTGTCAAATCTGGCTAAAAATGATCTGCCTTTTGAGTTAATAAAAATGCCAAATAAATAGGTATTGATGTGACAAAGTTTGAAAAATGGTGTGTTTTTCAGGGATTATTTCCTCCGAGAGACTAGAGTTTCCTTCCTTTCCTGAATGACAGGAAGCAGAGTGTCCCACAAACACTGAGCTCAGACACAATGAAACAATGATAAAAACAGACACACTGACAAAGCCAGAGTACAGCAGCACCTTTATTATGGACCTCAGGGTAGTTTCAGTCCTGTGTCAGTTGTGTTTTTTCTACTGTAAGAAATGAATGGCAGCAGGAAAAAGAGCCCTGATATCTCCGGCTGTACTGACTGATGCATCAGCAAAAACACTGTAAGAGGAGGAACACCGTGGACAGTCGGCATACGCGTATCCTTTAACTATCTGTCCTACTTTTAACCTAGCGCCCAGTGTGAGTGTGTATTCATGAACCGGGCCATTGAGTTAAGAGAACCCAGTGACCCGGTCACTCTGCACGCCTCACAGTTTCAGCTGTAACAGATATCACCAGGGTGCCGGCCTATTCACCGTGTGTGCGTGGGGACGGACGTACGAGAACACCAGGACGTGCAGTTCTGGCTGTAAGAGGGCCATATCAATAAGTGCCTTGTCTTGTTTGGTAAACAAAGCATTGAGTATGTAGACACGGTCAGGGTGATGCAGCATAATGACAGCTAGATAGCAAAAGGCCGCTTTATTATTTAAGTAGCATAGATCAGCAGAGAAAAATTAAATCTCCTCTCAACTAGCTATAACTATAAATTATTTTCTATGTCGAAATTACTGAAATATATCCGCAAATTATAGTGTTTGATGTGTAAGGTGGCAAGTTAAGTAGCACAACTTGAATTAAGCAGAACGTCCGTGCTTTCTTTTAACTCGACTCATCTGTCTCTCTTCAACTGACATTTCACCTTTCCATTTTTTTGCGCTTTGACACAAGCCCTCAGGTCAGCAACAAAAAAAACAACTTTTAGGCTCCTGATCCCCACAGTTTTCACTGTTCCTATAATTTACTCACACTTCTTTCAGAACTTCCATTTTAACTGCTAGTTCAACTCCTTTCAGTAATTATAGTCTGCATTCTGTTTTAACAGCAAAAATATAAGCTGCTAACACGTGCATTTTCCTCAAAAAATGTTACCTTCTGGACTTTGTAAATTTACAGAAATAATTTATTTTTCATGTATTTAACTAGCAGAAATGGCAGCAGGGACTGACATGCAACTAAAGCCGAGGGCCAGTCTCGAACCGGGGACGTTGCTGTTCACGCTCTGCCTTAAACTCTACTCCAATGACCTAAAATGTCATAGAGAGACTAAAAAAGTTAAGACATCTCATAAGGGTGAAGTAAATCATTGTTGCTGTGGGGATTCAGAGTGGTGGTACACGGTGATTTATCAGAATGATAGTGTTGACGGGTATTCATCCGCCTACGTGAGCTGTTGAAGCCCCTCTGACTACTATCCACAATGTTGTGCTGAGTGTCGTGCAGACAGAGAATACTGGTGTAGCTTGTGCTTTTCCACTATGGGTGAGACGACAGCATGAGCAGTGAACACACTAGGGCTGTCCACTAAAAGTGGATGATTCAAGTTATCAGTCAAGAGGAACAACAAGTCGACTTCAATTCTGTCAATCGAATCACGTGACTCGTGTCTGTTCACTGCTTTTAGCACCAGTGTGCAAATGTTAGTAAAGTTGGCTAAACTACTTTTGATGTGAAAGCTTTAATGCTACTTTGTGTTGAAATACTTTTCTCTGAGGTCTAAAAAAAGAGAACGGTGCTGACTTGGGGTAAACATTGAGGTGGGAGTAATTTTGGTAGTTATCGCTACATTGGCTTGCAGGTAGTGCTGGGCGGTATACCGGTTCAACCAAGTATATATATTCAGGAGTAACTCGCGTAATGTTCACTTCAGGTGGTTCACCTCAGTGTCTCCACCTCTCTGGTCTGCACAGAGAGGCCTCAGCGTGACAGTAAATTCTACGGTCTTTAGCCCCGGAGGCCGTTTAATACCGGGTTTTAATAACCATCTCGGAAAAAAATGATTCATTGCTTTTCAGGCAGTGATTTGCAATGTATTTGTAGCACATGTGCATAGTACGATGAATGAAAACACCGTTTATCTGGCAGCACTAGTTGACATCTAGAAGTATCCATGGGAAAAAATACTGAACCCCAAATTGCTCCTGAAGGCTTTGCCATTGGTGTGCGAGTGTTTGTGAATGAACATTAGTTTGGATCCTGATTAGCAGGGTTGACACCTTGTATGCCAGCCTCTGCCATCAGTGTAGGATTTGTTGTGTGAATGAGTTAATATTAACAATGTAGTAAAATGAAGTGTACAGCATTTCGGTCCCAAGTCCCAGAAAACGGTGTCAGTGCATCATGACTGTAATCAAACCGGGTCAGTCGTGAACGGGATTGGCCATTATTGTATAATAATGCATTTTTTTCTATCCTCTCAATTCTAGTGCATCGCCACCGGACGGTGTAACAAACTAATCCTTGTATGAAAGGCTGTTACCACTTAAAACAGTTTATCAGGACAAAGAAAGCGCTTGGCCTATTTTTGGGTTCATTCCCAGTTTAATTAGTCAGTGTCTTGATTATGAACTCTGCCATTCCTCTCTACTTCCCTGGAGGTGCCGTAAAGTTGACATCCCTTCACCAGGCTGCCATTAACCTAAGTATTCAGACGGTCCAAATGTTAAGGCAGCGAGTGTCCTGGGTTGGATGTTGGGGGCTATTGTTTTGGGGGCCATTGTGAAGCCATTTCATAACTCCTCTGTAGGAAGGAGCCAGAAATTTGTCTTTTAATCCTTTTTATAACTTCACAAGTTTTAGCCGAATAAAGCAATTGCCAGATTACCTGCTATGAATCACAACACTGTATTGTTATATTCCCATTGACCCTGTTGCTGCTTGTTTCCTTAGGAGACAGCGGGAAGGTGACGACAGTCGTGGCCACACCAGGTCAGGGACCGGACCGCCCACAGGAAGTCTCCTACACTGACATCAAGGTGAGCAAGGAAGCCCAACCAAGACCTCTGGGTGTCATCAGAAGAAGCTCTGTCCTTCTTATAAGTAGAAGTGCAACTTTATCACCTCGTCTGCTAAGTAACTAAGAGTTTTATCACCTCATTACACCAAATGACTGCAATATATCTGGCTGAAGTTGATAAGGTTGTTGATCAATACCAGTGGCTCCATGATCACTTTGCCAGGTGCTGAGATTTATGGCTTTCAATGGTGACTTTATAGCCTACTTTCTGCTAGCCGTCTTGTCTATGATCTGATCATGTGACATACTTGTGTCAGTGAGAGGCTAATGGAATCACATGGGTTGAGGCTGGTGTTGCTTTGTGTGGGCGTCGCTGTTCGTACCTTTGCAGGTTCTTCTGCTGTTTTCCTTTTATCACTTCTAAGATTACTTAATGTCTCTGTAATAGTTTGCTCGCATACATTTATTGCATTTTTATCTCAAAGTTGATAGTCTTATTATTGTGGCTTATCAGAAATATTGACACTTTTCCAATGTCTGCTGCAGTTGAAGGTTATCACGGTGTCATGTGAAACCACTGAACAGTGAGCATGCCTCTTCGGGTCAAATTTATCATTATAAGCAGATGAAGTAGATTGATAACTACGGTTTTCTTTTTGTTTTTCTTTATTTGTTAAGCATTTTACTGTCTAATTGACATAAGTATATATATATATATATATATATATATACTTATGTCA